TTTTTTTTTCATATTGAAATACCTTATAGTTTGTAGGAAAACCAAACTATTTAAAAGTCTACTGAAAGTAAAAATTAATTTGTTGTAAAATAATTAATTCCGCAATATTATTAACAAAGAATTTTACATTTAAAAAAAAAGTATTACAATTATCATTGAAATTGCCATAGGCATAACCAAAATTTATGTAAGGTGTGGTTTACTGCTTTAGTAGAATTTCTCATATGTTCAGTGTGCTGATACTTTGGGTATACATTTTAGACCTTTGAATCAACCTTCAAACACATTGCAATTTTAATACATGGTCTTAAATAATAAATTCACAGAGTACTAAAGTTTTTATTAATTTTTAATATAAACATAGGTACCTATGTTTTTCTTAAAATCGTTGCTAATTAATGAATTAATAACTTTGTGTAGTCAAGCTTAAAMTATCACAAGTAGTAAATATATTTAAAGGAACATATTATAAAGGATAATGTCCTAAATGACAGATTGCTAACACTATTTTTTAAATCAACAATGTTGCCTGAGAATGAAAATATCTAAAAAATTACACAATGATAACAATTATAAATTWTTTTAAAMATGACTACATCTAATGTAGCAAAATACTABACTATTTTGTTGTTTGTTAGTTATACTAGTTTTATAATTAATTACTGGATAGGATTTGACTATGTKAGTTAAACAAGTATTGAACACTAAAAATTCACTAATACACTCATCATTATTATAATATTTAATCATTAGTGAATTTTTAGTGTTAATATATGATTAACTCACATAGTCAAATCTTGTCTAGAGGCCAAATGTCAAATCAGTACAGATTAGAAACTAACAATCAAAGTTTTTTTTTTAAAGATTAATGCTTATTTTTATTTACCATTCGTTTAAAATTACTTAATATTTATAGTAGGTATATATTTTTATATTATTAATATGCTTATATTTATATTTGAAGCAACTTCATCTTATTGAACTTATCAAAGAAGGTAACATAGAAGAAGCTCTTGTATTCGCCCAAGCTAAACTATCAGAAGTAGGAGAGGGAAATCCTACTATACTTACAGAACTAGAAAGAACACTTGCATTATTAGCATTCGAAGAACCTCAAAAGAGCCCATTTGCTGACCTTCTTCAGACTACRCATAGACAAAAAGTAAAATATTGTGTTATAAAATAATTTTTTAAATCTAATACTTTCTTATTATATTTTACAGGTATCTAGCGAGCTGAACGCAGCTATTTTGAGATTTCACAATCAACCAACTATTACACCTAAACTTTACAATCTCATGAAGCTAATAATGTGGGCCCAAGATGAATTGGATAGGAAAAAAGTTAAGTTCCCCCACATGACCGACTTTGGTTCAGCTACTTTGGAACCTCCTAAATGACGCACAGTTCATGAGTACGACGATGTGTGTTGTGACTCTTCTTGGCTGTTTGAACCTAAGGATTAAATTTTGAATATTGTTTTTTTTTTTTTATACATATATATATTAATTATTCATAAATTCTTTCCTAATAATATTATATTCATCTTTAAATATGAAACATAATTATAAAAAAAATATAAGAAAAACTATACATTTCAATTTATTTATTGGATTTTGTTTGATTACAAAGTTTTTAAATGTATTTATTAAATAAGTTATTAGAATACTCTGGTTTTTCCGACATTATTTGTAAATTATGTAAAATTTTACCAACAAATATATTGTATAGTTTCATTCATTAGTATAAAATGTGTCTAATAGTCTAAAATGTACACATTAATTTACGATTTATATTATTGGTAGTGATAGTGACTTCAGACAAATTAAAGAGCACTAGATTACATACTGAAATAGTAAATAAATAATATACCTATCAAACTTTAATCAAGTGCATTTTAATWTATTGGTGTATCAGGAAGACCTGACAAATGAAATAATATTGGTTCTAATCATTATATTTTAACCTATTAATCTAATTTGCAGAAACATCTTGATTGTAAAAACATGTATTAAAATCTTGTAGCTTATTTTTTATGATTTAAAAAAAATATATTAAGATTTTAACAAGTACTTATTCAAAAATGTTCGTGAACTACATGCAGTATTTAAAAATAGCTTGTACTTTTTATATTTGAAATGTTTTTGTTATGATTGAATCAACATTGCTYAGTAACAATTATGAGATTTTAAAAATAAACTACTTCACTTAAATAAATGTTTCACAATTTTGGCTATATCAAATTTTGCCAAAAAATTAAGCAGATATAAATATTTATATTTTCAATATTATAAAATAAAAATAAAAACATGTTGTTACACTCTGTATAGTTTTACATTATTTACAGGAAAGCTTGGCATGCAGTGTCTTAATCCATGTAGCAGAATTTTTGGCAC